AGTTTTTCAATGTTAATTGTCAGATAATATTGAAAATAGAAATATATAAAATGATAAAGAAACGACCGCGATGGTAATAAATGGTAATAATTAACATTTAACTGTAAGTTGACAGTTGTCAGTTGTAACCATATTCAGATATTCTATCATTACATAATATCATATTTAGTAATTGGTAAAACTACACTATAATAGCCTAAGCCGCGCAAGTACCTGCTAATCAGATAACAAAACACGTATATTATTGTGAACAAATTCTAATTTTAGAAACAGGAAAAATATTCCCCATTATCATTCTATGGAAACAGCTTGATAACAATAATATTATACAATTTGTTTAGTACCTACACTAGAACACTTTTATTATCGTGTATACACTGTAGTGTAACTGTACAATTATTTCGTTTTTGATTTAATTTAATTAATAAAATTTCAAATTATAAAATATGTAATATATGTGAATCGTTGTACTTATAAAGAAAACTTGGGATTTTTCATGTGTGTGAGTGCGGGGCCTAAACGAGAAGCCAAAAGCGCGTGGCCCCGCTGCACTGTAGCACAGTGCGCGGTATTCTACCTAAAAGTCCGGTAAAAAAGACCCGTGAAAAAAGTCCAATGTAATAAAAGTCCGGGTAACAAAAGTCCGGTTTATTTATTATCGGTTTAGTTTATCGTTTGTTGGCGACTTTATTAAGTTGGGTCAACTAGATACTATTATCTTTTAGTATTATCCATTATAGACGATAAGAATATATTGGAAGTAGCTTCATACACTTGGTAGGTCATATAGTCATCCAACAATATGGATGCTAATTAAAAAAATCAAGTTAGAGATTGGAGCCGATAGGGCAAAAATAGCATTAAACAGGGCCATATTCATCATTAGGCAGGATAGGCAACTGCCTATGGCCTCCGTTATTAGAGGGCCTCGGATTTATATGAATATTATTTTATTTTATTTTTTTGAGTATTACTTTTATCATATAAAATAAATATAAGAAACATATAATTAAAAAAATAGTATATTGTGTGGCAAGGGCGGGAAGTGAGCCATTTCAGTCGCGGGCGTCGTGTGCCGCATTTCGCYCAAGACTKAAATGGYCTTCCCGCGCGAGCCACACATACTATTTTTTGTCACGCCCCTGCGTTCATGGAAAAGGTTATGCAGGGATCTATGCAACAATTATAGACTATTCTACAAAAACAATTTCATGGAAGAC